ATGTGACCTTTCAGACGGTCGTGCCTGCCATCTCAGGATTTATTTCCTTCCTGGGTTGCTCCTTTTGGTAAAGGGCCTCAATAACTTTAACGCGGTGACCCCAACGTGGCCAAGAACACAATCTTAAGGCAGCTGAGAAATGTCTCTTGCACCTGGAATGCTTAAGTACTTAACAACCATCTCTAAGTCAACTCGTTGAAAGGTCGGACAGTCAAAATGACTACGCCCAGGTTTTCGACAATTGGATGCGTTAATCAACAAGGCATTTTTCCATTTAATGACGTGAAAAAACGCAAAAGCATAGTAACTTTGTGGGGTAAATATATAACCTCCCGATTGTTCCTTTTAAGTTAATAAAGAAAAATAGAGCAGGAGTGAAGGTTGCAGTGCAGAACTCAAAACAATAAACAATAAATAAGGCATGCACTCATCTAGAACCACCGCTGTTACCACCAGCATCATCCTCATCAAGTATAAGGAAATACCTGTTTTTTGTCGATTGCTCGAAATCCAGGCGAAAAGAAAAAAAACAAGAGAGAAAAAACTTCCAAAAAAAGGTACGGTGGTGGGGTTGGAGGTGGCGAGAGTAAAGCTTTATATTTTTTGAAGGCTTAGAAGTGTGAACTTGTGGGCTAGTTGGCACACCTCCCTAGTACGAGTCGTTGATATGACGATGGGCTCCAAACGACATTCCGGACTGCGTAGCCACCTGCTTGGCTCCAAGACCCATTTGCAGGCCGAGGTAAGACGCCCCCTCGGGCGTCATGGGGTCAACGCGGATATCCGCGATGCCACGAACCGCGCCCATCGAAGTCATGCCTCGCTGGCTGGCAAACTTGTTGGTGCCGTATTGCAGGGTGATCGTAGACTTGCCCTCCTCGGAGACGTTGTCACAACGGATGTCCGCGGCGTGACGAACTCCACCCATGGACATGCCCTGTAGCACACACCACAAATTCGCACTCAATAGCCAATCAAATCACTGATATGCGGTCACAGTTAGATTAGCCAATCAGCTCTCTACTCTGTAACGATGGGCCACCTAAGACGCTGATTGGTCGATTGCAAAGTATACAGCTTACCTTCTGAGATGCGCATTGATTGGTGCCCATTTGAAGATTGATGATGCCTTGGCCATCTTTAGCAGCGTTGTCACAACGAATGTCGGCAACATGACGAATCGACCCGAAGCTCATTCCCTTCTGCGAGGCGAATTTATTCGTCCCCATCTGGAGACTGCAAATTCCCTGGCCTATTTACAAGTAATTAGATAAAAAAGCAAATTTAGACATAGAACGCGGTATCTTAGACTAGACCAGGTAGATTTGTGGCCTTGAGGTAGGAAAGCGCTTCTCAACAAAGTTAAATGAAATTTCCCATAAACATTTACCAAGAAAAGGCTCTATGGGAATCCTTATGTTTGAAATAATAACCGCAGTGCTCGATAAACCGGTGCTATCAAAGATTGCGGACGGGGCTTTGTTTAAACGAAGTTCAGCATTGGATAAATTTGCATTATTGGAAATTTCGCTTTGTTTAAAGACCATTGTCTTGTCAGTTTAGATTCAAACCCGCGATTATCCTATTTACAAGCATGTCTAAAGTGTAGTTGACAGCTCAGTGACGATGACGACGAGGACGACTAACACTTACTTTCAAGACTCGCATCGTCCGCCTTGATGTCGGCTGCGTGACGCACGGAGCCGAATGACATGCCTTTCTGCGATGCGAACTTGTTCGTTCCGGATTGCAGACAGACCATTCCCTCGCTGGCGCGCAATTGCTGTTCGGTCCACTGGCGGTACTGCTTATTGGTCGGCTTGGGTCCACACGTCGGACCCTGGAAACCGTTTCTTTGGCACTGAAAAGGCGCAGGAAGGAACTCAGCTGCTTCTTATAGATTTTTAGCTGCTGTTTCAAACAATTTACTTAATATTTAATTTTTACTTGAATCAATTTAATTTCCAGTAAATTTGGCTGAAATGAGGCTACATTAAGTTTTTGGGATCAATAACTGGGTAGGTTTCGAGACCCCAAAATACCAACAATCAATATCGTCTCATTACTGATGGCTTATTTAAGTAGCAACTGTTGTGCATCAATAAACTAGGACATGTACAAGCTTCGAATCAGTCACAAGCAAAAGGATTTATTACCAAAATTGTTTATACCTTCAAAGTAGTGGGTAAATTTGATAAAAAGGTAACTAAAATCCCTATTCAAGCTGCTTGTAAGCACAGAAACTGAGCCCAGTTTTTCTAAGCGTTAATTCAAATAACCAACGAGTGTTGAGAGGTCAAGTGAGTATTTGGCTTGAAGTTCTTTGGATAACGCAAACTGAACTAACTTTGCTATTTCGTAAATCGCGCTGCCTGAATTTCCAAGAAGCGCGTAAATCAATCAGATTAAAAAAAAAACAAACCAAAATCAGTATTTTTGATCCAGGTGTGTTATGCACTTATGAATCTTGTGAGCTAAAATCCCATCAACGCATATAGAATAATTATAAATTTATCAGTTTTGTTTTAATTTGCCATTAATTTTTAAACATCTAAGAGCGTCTAGCATCATTGACAAAATGTGCCCAGCACAATAAACAAGGTAACCATCTTATGAGAAATCTGTGGGCCATGAATGAATCGTAAGGTTCCCATGTTACAGCTTGACCCAGAATTAACGGTGGGAAATAACTTGCCCACCAACTAAGTTAGACACAAGGTAATAAATAAGTAATATTCAGAATTTTTTCGGAAAAATGATATTACAAACAAAATCCTTGGCTTTTACTTCAAGAAGCACCAGTAAAATGAGAAAACTCACAGTACACGCCGATATATTTAACATAATTTTGAGCAAAAAAGCACAAAGATTCGTTTGTTTAAGAAATGGGAGTAGGTTTTGAGTGAAAGATCGATTTTATCGATCGACATATAAAGTACTAATGGTTTTATGTCATACGTCCTGACACTCTACGCCATCTTGAGACAAATTTTGATGACATTGGGGAACCTTGACACGGCCCCCTCTCTTGTCAAACATGGCCACGTGTTCCGATGAACCTTGATCTCAAAATCATATCGATTGGTGAGAGAGTTTGACTCTTTTAATCACACACACTTACCTCTGTCCCCAGCTGCATTATTGTATTGATGACTTGAGACATATTGCGTCCCTCATAAAGGTCCACAGTCTGGAATAGACTAGTTTTCGGCACGCCATATGCTTCCGCAGCGTCCATGAAGATTTGAATATTCTCCATCTAAAATTTCCAAGAAAAAGACCAAGTGTTAAGTGCTAAAATAATGCCATGGTAAAATCGATAGAATCGTCCAATTTGGGGTAATTCTAGGCAATTATGAGCAAATCGGGGAACCCATAGCTGTTGTTTAAATGGACCATCGAATTTTCTGAGTTGTGATTGGTTGATAAGACAAAGGAATTGACCATTTCTCCAGCTACACGTTCAGAGGTTTTTGATTGGTTCGAAGACAATGCGATGCTCGTATATAAGTTCACAATTCAATATTTTACCTGCTTAAACGGAGCAGACATCGTGTTCGGTTTAAGTGGAAGCCGGACATACTGTGCTGCCTCTGGAAGTTGGGGCGTGCGTTCGTACACGGCGTTGATTAGTCTTAAAAAAGCGAAAACAGATTTAGTTAACATTCACAGAATGTCTGCCTGCTTTTTATTGGTTCAGATTTTCAAGTGTCAGTTCATTGGTTAGTATTTAAGGTGCTACGAATATCTCAGTCTATGCAATCGCTTTTGCATATTTTATGAACTAAATTATTGACTAATGAAATTCCCGTTAAATTGAAATTTATTAAAATTTGAAATCCGTGCGGATGTCCTACAAATAAAGGCAAAAGATTAAATTATAGTTTTCCAAAATTGAGCAACTAACCTCACAAGGATCTTTCCGTCCTTGAGACATTTTTGCACATTCTGTTGGCCAGACGGAACACTTTCCCCAACAATTTGACTGATCCACTGAATCACCTCCCTTTCAGCCTCGGGGTCGTACCTACTGTTTAACTGAAACGCACACAAAAAAGCATTTGATACAGTCTTGGATTTGGGGCAGATCGAAAGTCCCCCTTTTGACCAATGAGCGGCATCCCTCGTCGCATTGGTCAAAAGGGTGGTGTTGGCGCAATTGACGTGACCAGGCTCGATTTTAATATTATTCTTTGAATGCGAACAAAAACTCAACATTTTTGATTAACAAACTCAATAGTAGCATCGAATCGACAAAGTAATGCTTTCAATTGAAATCGGATTTGACCTGATTCATCATGAACGTTGTCGACGAATGCGATCGCACACGATTCTTCTTTTTTCCATTCTCAATAACAAAAAAGCCAATTCTGCTGGGTGTGAGGTAACCAGTGCAAATTTTGAACCAATACCGATTTGTTAGCCTCGATTTATTGCTTTAGTTTGGAAATTTGTTCTGAGTTTTTTGTGAAGCAAGTTTAAATAAACGACTATCAAATAGCACAAAAATAACCATGGAAGTTGAAATCTAGCAAATTTGTTTAGCAAAAAAACGTCATTCGCATTAAGAACTTGGTCATCCACAGTGAGTTTAGAAACGGCATATTTAATTCATCATCGCTTTAGACACGTATTTACACATCACCCAAAATCGATACTCCCCGTAAACAAGCTGAACTCAGCCTGCGTGAACAAGTGGGCTAGAATTTATGCACTTAAACTTGCATGGATTTTGGTGAGTTAAAAGTATGTGAAAAATTCGTAGTGCTATAAATTTAATGTTATCACTTCAGCCAAACCATTAATAGGAAGTCCACTAATGGGTCATTCCTCATATAGAAAAATCGGTTACAATTAAACTGCATAACAGTCAACCTCAAAACCCCATTGAGCCACGTTGGTTCTACAATAAAGTGATAATTCTCACACTACTGAAAACCACTCATAGTAGAATGATAGGATGTTGGAATGTGTAGCCGCTTGGAAAATGAAAGACCATGTACAAATTTAGCATTATATCATTATTTCAAAGTGGATTTAGCTAGCATCGACCACATTGGTCTAAACTGCATACTTCTCATTTCTGATTACTTTAAGTAACGTGACCCTACAAGTACGTCTGTTTTACAGGGAATTTACACTGCCCCGCAAACTAATTGGTGGTTTTAGTTAGAGGATATTCTGCAAAACAAGCCAACCATTGCTGGTTAACGAGAATCTGCCAATCACAAACAAGGATTTAGCCATTTTAGCCCTAATTGTTCCAGAAAGTCAGAATCGAGTTTTTGCATGGCAAATGGCAAATGCTTTCTAATTCTAAGTATACGCATCTTGGTCAAAACACTTGAGTAAAACAAGCACCTACTCGTCTGATGGCGCTGCTGTCAGAATAGGTTTCACCGTTGACGTCGTCCATTCTTTTCTACTCACCACCGTAAAGGCAGACTCCACAGGTTGGCACACGCGGTAATCACCACCGAAAATCCCCTTTGTAAAGTCCAAATCCATGAAGAACCGCCCCCATGTGCCGAAGGCACACATCCACCCGGCCGCCTATTGGTCGTCACCGCCGATAAGCTGGCCAGTGGGAGCCAATCAGCGCACGGCACACACAGCCTCGAGAGGGCGCTCTAGCCTATCGATTATCCAACGTGTGTCTGTGTGTGTGTGTATTCTTGCCTGTGTGTGCACAATGCGTGGTGGCATTTTTCCTGCGATGGGTGTGGTACGCACGGAAGAGTTTGTTGTGACCGTGAGGGAGTTACGACGGGTGGGGGGGGGGCGGAGGGGCTACCGGAATGGGGCTGTTTCCTTCTACATAGAACACCATTAGTGATAATTCTGGCAGGACGTTGTGCTGTGCAGCGTGGTTTGTTAGTGTGTTTGGATGGCACCTTTTTCACCGCCCCTCTGCAGTAGAAACAGATTCGTAATCAAAATAGTAGCTGCCTAATTCAGATCTCGCGCACATTAGAATGCTGCCAAATGCGTCCTGAGTGCCGCTTTCGATTTCCGTGGTGACAAAACAATGATAAGAATCTGCGTGCTATACAGAAAATTTTAATTTTACTCAATTGTAAAGGTGATTTCCGCATTCGTTTTTTAAATAAATAATAAATCGAAGAACAGATTATTTCCTGATTTATCTGCAAGCATCCAGTGCAGTGATTGATAGCTGACAGGAGAAAATATCCGCCAGGTGCACATCGAGCCTTTTTCACTTAACGCTCATTTGAGGTGTTTGCTAAGACACCTCATTTTTTTGACAACCAAGAATGCCACACTGACGTTTTTCTTCCGATAAAAAACCCCGCGTACTTCTTCGCACTGCAACCTTCTTGTAACCGTGTTTGTTGAAACCTATAGTGTCCAAATCAATTATCGAATTTTCGACAGCTTTCGTGTACTGATCGCTCGTTTGTGATGAGGGTAGTGGTGTTGCGCAAGTGCTATTGTGTTCGAAAGTCAGATTATGAAACTCAGCTTGACGCATCAATAGCCAAAGTACTCCACGTCGCCAATTTGTCTTTTAGTGCGTTGGTTTAATCCCGCGAATCATTCTCTCATTTATCAACCAATGAGATTGGACGATTTAGAAAAAATCGAATGCACTTTGTGGCGCGATAAATTAGATCTCAAGGGACAAGGCTGTAAATGTACCAAGCTAATTCACATGAGAAGTAGAACATTATAGGAAACAGCCAAAATTAGGCAACGACATACAGTGTACTTCGGAATGAGAAATCGATGCCAGTTATTGATTTTTGATACCTGTACACAATAAGCTTAAAAGCCTGCCTATCTATTCTTTCATTCTCGAAACCACTCATATTCATCCATTTGGATCAAAAAATTGTGCTTTTTGAGTGGTCAGTAGCTCTGATGCCACCAAAACGGATATCAAGCCAACGCTATCCAATAAGGAAACGGCATCGTGTTAGTAGTACAAAATCCAAATGTGTTTTACAAAAATGATTCAACTAATCCAGTTATGAAAACAGAGGATTAAATGTCCTTTTGCAAAAACCAAGTAATTTAAAACGAGCAAATTAGCTACGCTATTTCGTGCATGACTTTGGCATTTGGACAGATTACAGTAATTTAAGTCCACCTAACCTTGAAAAAGTTTGTTTAAATTAATTTGCCTGCATCGGCGATGTTTTAAATATAACATGAAAAGCAGTTATCTGTTTCATGCGGTTAATCAATAAGTGCAATGTGGTCAAATGACAACGAATGAGCGTGCGTGACGTCTGTTTACTAGTTGATTTGATGTCACGGATTATCGATCACAGCTGAAAATCAATATTTACCCATAGGAACTCAGGTAGTCTCACGATAACACACTGTCGTATCTGCTGTCGTACGTGGTTGCAAGTCACCCAATTCAATGTTGAATTCTAGGCACTATAGTCCATACACGACAAATAGAAAGATCATTTTCACCATGACAACGCTAATCCAGGTGTTGTTTAACAGACAATCAAAAATGATTTTAAAGCAGGGAAATCCTCCGTCTCATGCCGTATTTCTCTGATTTTACGCCTTAAGAATCTCATCAGGTTCATTTTTCTGACTTCTTAGACAAAGTCAAGAACAACCTTGACGTTCCTTGAAATAAATGACGCAATTTTTACCGGAACGTACTTTTAAAACGTGAAAGACGCTGTGACAGTTGCAGGAAGTGAGAGATTTGCTGTTTTTAGTAAAATTTACAAATCGGGAAAATGATTACTGATGCACAATTGTCGTGGCATGAGAGAAAGGAACCAGTAGTCAGCGTGTGTTTTGAAAAAAATGTTTCCAAGTCTGCCTCACCTGCCAACAACTAACCCCGAAAAACTGACGCATTTATGATTTAGAAAAAAATTATGAGCATTTTTTTTGTGATGAACCTTCATTTCTGCTCATGCAGACCTGTGTCTTTGTAGAATATTACTTAAAACCTTAAACTGGCATTAAACTAAACCTACCAACGTTTTGCACAGTGTTTGTGTTAAAAAACGCTCTCAGGAATTTATTCACAAAATACAAAATACAGAAACGCCCCTGATTGGTGGCCTGAAGTGAAGCCTCATGATGTGATTGGATGCTTGGCCTACAAAAACACTCAACTCCTACGGCTTTTAGCTAAGGAAAGTTTGTACTAACATCAGCAGGGCTAAAAAAGTTCAAAGTCTTCTTTGTCAAACAGCAGCACCGTAATTTGTGAAATCAACTCTTAGTTGAAAGATTAGTCAATTTTGACTCTTTTGCGAGGTTGTCAAAATATGTAACATAAATTTCTACTTGACTGGATCTCAAGGTTAAGTTGTACATTAAAAAAAATTTCCGATAATTCATCTTGCAGTACATTTATATATAATCGATGAATTAAACTCACAGTTATAAAAAATTACCAAAAATAGTTTCGAAACAAGAATCGACCCTTTAGATAATCGAGAGATTTTCCAAAGCACAAAGCGGATCGTTAGACTCCTAAAATTTATTTTACCGCACACGAAAGGCGAAAAATAAGTAAAGCAGAATGCCTACCAAGAGTTGTCAAATCGTTATACTTGTTTCAAAACTGATTATAGCAACCACTTAAACGAACGAACTGTCAGATATTTGTACTGACGACGCGTTGCTTTCTAAAGAAAAGGAACGTGTTTTTCAAAATTTCGCTTCAGTGTTGAGTTGTTCCTGTTGCTTTTGGACATTTATCAACAGAGAAAACGCCACTCACAAGATAATTTTAGCCACAGCAAACAGAACGAAGCAATCACGAAATTTTTATGTGTGAAACCATAAACGTTTTTGCCTACATATATCATGATAAGCAAGTAGAACAAATATCACGGAACGTCAGAGCATGAGCGATTTTAATCATGATAATGTGTAACGAACCAGTAAAACTTAAGCATAATTTTGTGGAATGATATAATTTTTATTTTTGACACAGTTGGGCTGCGTATTTTTGTGACGAAACAATTTTCGCAAAAGATTTAAAAATCGCACCGATTGATTGATCTCTTCTTTTTAAAACAAATTCGATTACTTTGATGATTATTCAAAAGCCAACTTAAGCGAAATCACCTCCTCATTAAGTTGATTTATCATATGGTCATAACCGCTGAATCAGACAGCAATTTCCGTCATAATCTGAAATGTAATTTAAATGCAATTCATAACGATGCTGCATAGTCTGCCTCCTACAAAATAAATGTATTCAAACTCTAATATTTATCTTATGATGATAATGATAACAATAATAATAATGAGACACCCGGTAAAATGTATTCAATTTAGGCAATTTAGACGAACAGCCAATCATGAGTCAAGAAAAAATTGTTTGAATTTGCGCGATGTCTGATCTAAATTTAAAACTGGTGTTATGCAAAAAAGAATTTGCAGCACTGCAAACACCCAACAATTTAAAAAAATTCCTTAAAAATATTTTTCACAGACAAATAACAAAATGAGGAGATTTTTTTACTGTTTTGGTTATTTTTTGTGGAAGAAGCCATTAATTTTAATAAACACAAGAGATTCACGGCTGCCAAATGTTGGCTATTGCTACAGTATACACGTGCGCCTAACGAAATTTGCACTAAAGTGGCTAACCTCACACAGAAATTGACGAGCAAATAGCTATCTAATAAGAATGCAGAAAATCAAAATTTTTAATTGAAAAGAGACTTAATTTATGATGAGAAAAGGTTATTGAAAATTGAAATTATTTACCAGAAATACACCACCAGCCCTGCGCAAAAAACGCATTTTTTGGCTGTGCAGTAGGTGCCGTATGGTGAATTCCCCAACAACATAGAACGGTGCGGTTGTTACTTCGTCCATGTCGATCAAAAACACTTTAAAAGTGTTGGCGTAAGTTTAAGAATAACTTGCAAATTTAGCTAAAAGTCTTCAATTTTTGCAAAAGGTTCTAGTACTTGGGTTAGCAGAAGTTACGTGTTCTAGTATAAACCGTTTTCACCAACGAATGTAGTACACGTTTGTCAGGAAAATCGGTTATGAAATAACGCGTACTAGTGGTTTTAAACAAAACGAATATTGGCAAAGCCTTGCTTCCAGTTAATTACTACTTAATATAATTGCATCCATTTTTCTCTCAAACTAAAACAGTATTTACCACATGCGGTGCCTATTTATAGAAGGCGCTGCACTTGCGATTCATGCTAGATTGATAAATTATTTCACGCAGTCCAGGAAGCAATCAGAAACAAGCAAGCATTATCAAGGTCACACGGATAATCAATAAAATTATTTGGCACCATTTCAAATCGCATGACAATATTTCTGACTTTTAAAAATACACGCAAATCCCACTATCGTCTGCATTGGTTAAGATTCAAGTCAGCAAGATTGCAATTCGTGTTTACGGAAAAATTTGATTAATGAAAAATATTGCATGAC